ATTACACGGCTGGGATTCATCGTACCAATAAGGAATTATCGCCTCAGCTTTTTCCAACCACTTATTCCGAAGTTCCAACTCGACAACTTCAATGGTTGAAATCCGGCAAATAAAATACAAAATCTTGGTGCACCCTTGACTAAAAGCCTTTTGGATAACGTCCAAAAGTCATTTTACTCCTAGCCAAGTCAGATACTCTTATCGGATATCTGGGTTGCTATTACAAAGGTCTAACACAACCCGTTTAACCTCTTGTTCAGTATATCCTTCAATAGACCACACTTGCTCGATGTCGCTTAAAACCAGAGACATCTCCTATCTTACTAACTTAGTAAAATAGTTAAAACACGTTCCAGTGTCTTGACCTTTTGAAGTGCAGAATTAACCTTTTCAATCTGGCTTCTGATCTGGGTTAATTCTTCGTTTATAGCAAATATACGATACACCGTATAATTTACTCTCCAATCTAAGTTTTCAAGCTTCTGGGTCAAAAGCTCTAACTTATCTATGATAGTATTTAACAAACCAATTTCCGGTTTTACCTCGAGTCCAAGATCCAAATAAAAACAAGTCTTATTCATACAGCCTTCATCATTCGAACCATTATTCATGCTACATAACTTTCAACAAGTTAACATGTATAAACACCCCTCGTCTTCCAAAGCTCTGATACTATTTACACCCACATAATATATGTTATACCCAGTCTAACAAATATTATTACGATTAATAACTAAACACCCTAGTTAATTAATTGGAAAGAAAAATATATAGATTCAGTTTTAAAGATTAATTCATACCTGGATATCAATCTGTTTGAATGAAACTTTCTCTTTGCAATTTAAAAGTAATCAAAAGATTGAAAGAATGAATTTTTCACAAACTGAAAATATTATTGATTTTTCTCTAAATAAAAATGAACATAAGCTTCTCCTTAAATAGAGAAGTCCGGATTTCAAATGAATTGAATCTGTAAAGCAAAACAAAAGGTCTAGTCAACTAAAGGTGACTTGACTAACAAACAAAAAAATTACACTTATCTTAAAGATAATAACACTAGGGTCCACATGTCTCCCATGTGTCTTACAAAGATTATATTACACGTTTTACATAGCAAAATATAATTATCACAAACGACAATACATAACATCCAATGCCTTCTTTTAATCTGGAACGTTGAATTCTGTCGACAGAATCTTGGATATCCACGTATTATCTTCCGCTGTTTGATAGACGTCAGCGTAGTACGTGTTGGATGTTTCTGGTTGTCCAAATTTCTAACCTCTTAGATTCGTATCAACCCTTAAAGTTATCCACTTCTATCAGATCAATAAAATCCTTCAGAGTTTCATCTTCTTGGTCATGGGCTAGGACCATCCTTAGAAGATCAATAATTCCTTCCATCAAGGCCTGTTTTGGTAAATGGGCTAAGTCAAATCCTTCTAATAGCGTTTTTAACTAGGCCTGATTATGTTGAAAGAGAGTATCATGGATTGTTGCATACATGTCTGGTAAAACTACCACTATCCCATTATGGATATGGATAGTAACATTTGCCTTAACGAGCTCCTCCAGTTTGGATTTAACCAGTAGCAATTTTGCAATATACAGCCTGGTCCAATCCTCATCTTCTTTCTTCTGAATTTCTTCTAGTGCATAAGAACCCATTTTTACCTCACTATTTAACATAATTCGGTACCATGACTCTCCTACAAGAAATTCTCATATCTGTACAGGCTAAACATTGTAGCTCTCTTGCAATGAGGAAGTAATCATGCAAGTGAATATGTCGATCTTTCGATTCAATACACAGAGCATTTGCTTAACCGCATGTGGCATATTCAGGTCCACCACTGCTTCCTGTACATCAATCTCCATTGTATCGATTCATCCTCTATTTAAAAGATCTCTGCAATAACATTTTCTAAAGAGTTTCCATGGAACGAACAATTCCATAGCTCCATTAGGATAAACTGCTAATCCTTGAACCAAATTCGCTAAATCAGTTTTTCCCAATTTTACTATTAAGTCATTCAAATTCTCCAGTCTGAGATTCATCATGTCAAATAAATGACATTTCCTCATTACCTCAGGTTTATGAATTCCTACTTCGTAAAGTTGAGCAGTTCCTTTAAACTTCTCGTCTTCATAAAACAGTTTATCAACTTCTAACTATGCTAACCTTCTTGCTAGCTTTTCTAAACACTTTTGCAACTGTACTTCCTCTTGACCTGTCGCCATTGCGATTCTAATTTGGGTTTCTAGATCCTCCCAGAGTGTTTGACTAGCTGAAGTTAACCTTAAGCGTTCTGAAAAGCTAAACCTCTCACAAATATCTGCATCAATTAACCGCTTGTTCCTAATCTTGCTAATGTAATTAATGGTTTAACGCTTAAGCTTAGTGACAAAGTGCCCTGGATTTGGACACTTGAATATACTAATTGTGTTAAGCGGACCAAAGCCTTGACAAAGCAGTTAAAACCTTTAAAACTCCCAGAAGATGAGAATAAGCTTATTATAGAAAGTGATGCGTCTTATTTGTACTGGGGAAGAGTGCTTAAGGCTAAGGATACTGATAATATTGAACAAATTCTCCTGCTGAAATAAACTATCCTGTTCATGAAAATAAAGTTTTAACAGCGAAAGAATGTATTGACCGATTTCGATTGTTTGTAATCAGTTAGGAATTCACTTTAAGGACAAACTCCAAATATTTAAAAAAATTTATGAAACTCTCTTTAAAGGATGACAAATCTAGATTAATCAGATAACAAATTTGGTTTGCAGATTATAAAATCAAGTTTGAATATATTTCTAGTAAATCTAACTTTGTTGCTGACTTTTTGTCTAGACATTTCTCTGAAGAGTTGCAGGATAATGGCGAACAAGAAGGAAATTGGAAGTCACTTCTCATGCTCCAAGTGTAAACAACGAGGACACTTGAGGAGGAATTGTCTTTTGAGGATTACTTCAACTTCAAATGTTACTGCTAAAAATGAGAAAATTGTGAATAAATAGGTGATTTCTACTCCAAAGCAGGTTACTGCGGCAAAACAGGTTAAAGAAGGAAAAAGTCGACATTATGACTTTAATACTTCAGAGAGAAGGAACCCGAAATTTCAACGATTAAAGGGTGAAGCTTCTACGAAGAAAAATACTTCTGAAAAGGAGGTTACTCCTAAGAAGGAAAAAACTCATAAGAAAGCAATAGTTTACTGGTCTTGTAAACATGAAAGACATGAAAGGGCTAATTGTCCACTGCCAAAGACAAAGAATTCTGAGGAATCATCGTCAGGCGCTACAAACGTGATGACTCCACACACTCCACAAAAGAAGCGGTTAATTGATGTAGATATTTGTGAGAGGTTTAACTTTCTAGAAGGCTTAAGGTTAACTTCAACCAGTCAAACACTCTGGGAGGATCTGGAAACCCAAATTAGAATCACAATTGCGACATGTCAAGGAGAACTACAGCTGCAGAAGTGTTTAGAGAAGCTAGTAAGAAGGTTAGCATGGTTGGAAGCTGATAAACTGTTTTATGAAGACGAAAAGTTTAAAGGAACTACTCAACTTTACAAAGCAAGAATTCAGAAACTTGAGGTAATGAGAAAATGTCATTTATTTGACATGGTGAATCTCAGATTCGAGAATTTGAATAACTAAATAGTAAAATTGGGAAAAACTGATTTGGCGGATTTAGTTCAAGGATTAGTAGTTTATCCTAATGGAGCTATGGGATTGTTCGTTCCATGGAAACTCTTTAGAAAAGGTTATTACAGAGATCTTTTGAATAGAGGATGGATCGATACGATGGAGATTGATGTACAGGAAGCAATGGTGGACCCGAATATGCCACATGCGGTTAAGCAAACGCTCTGTGTATTGAATCGAAAGATCGACATATTCACTTGCATGATTACTTCCTTATTGCAAGAGAGCTACAATGTTTAGCCTATATAGATATGATGATTTCTTGTAAGAGAGCCATGATACCGAATTATGTTAAATAGTGAGGTAAAAATGAGTTCTTATGCACTAGAAGAAATTCAGAAGAAAGAAAGAAATGATTGGACTAGGCTGCGTATTGTAAAATTGCTACTGGTTAAATCCAAACTGGAGAAGCTCGTTAAGGCAAATGATACTGTCCATGTCCATAATGGGATAATGGTAGTTTTACCAGACATGTATGCAACAATCCAGGATACTTTCTTTCAACATAATTAGGCCTAGTTAAAAACGCTACTAAAAGGGTTTGACTTAGCCCATCTACCAAAACAGGCCTTGATGGAAAGAACTATTGATCTTCTAAGGATGGTCCTAACCCATAACTAAGAAGCCCAAGAAGATGAAACTCAAGGATTTTATTGATCTAATAGAAGTAGATAACTTCAAGGGTTGATACGAATATAAGAGGTTGGAAATTTGGACAACCAGAAATGTTCAACATATAATATGCTGACGTATATCAAACAACGGAAAATAATACGTGGATATCCATGATTCTGCTAACATAATTCAACGATCCAGATTAAAAGAAGGCATTGGATGTTATGTATTGTCGTTTGTAATAATTATATTTTGCTATGTAAAACGTGTAATATAATCTTTGTAAGACACATAAGAGACATGTGGACCCTAGTGTCATTATATTTAAGATAAGTATAATTTTTTAGTTTGTTAGTCAAGTCACCTTTAGTTGACTAGACCTTTTGTTTTGCTTTACGAATTCAATTCATTTGAAATCCGGACTTCTCTATTTAAGGAGAAGCTTATGTAAATTTTTATTTAGAGAAAAATCAATAATATTTTCAGTTTGTGCAAAATTCATTCTCTCAATCTCTTAATTACTTTTAAATTGTAAACTCGAAGCAAAGAGAAAAGTTCATTCAAGAGGATTGATACCCAGATATGAATTAATCTTTAAAACTGGATCTATGTATTTTTCTTTCCAATTAATTAACTAGATTGTTTAGTTATTAATTGTAATAATATTTGTTGGACTAGGACCCAGCCCGACTCGACCGTTTCAACCGGGAAACGACTTCTAAGTCGGGTCGGGCTGACATAAAACTCGGAAAGGTGATTTCACCTAAAATAACCCGTGGTTGGACCGTGGGTACTATAGCAACCCGCCAGTCCAACCGATTTTTGGAAAAAACCGGGTCAACCATTACCCCTCTTTTATTTACTAAAATCCATTTTTTTTCATCAATTTTCCCTAAATTTTCATTCCAACAAGCCCCAAACCATATTTTCACTCTCCCATTTTGCGATTTCTTCATTTCACCATCGATCTCTTCATTCCATGTCTCTTAACTTCTTCATTTCATCTCTCTTAACTCTTGGGTCTTCATTTCGTCTCTCTTACCTCTTGGGTCTGCTGGTCTGTTGGATAAATGTGTCAAAATCGGGTCAAAAAAATAAATCCCTAAAATCCAACTCTACATCTTTGAAACTTACAGCTAATTGATTCTTGATTCTTCAATCTTCATTGGAGAGGGATAGTAATGGTGAAACCGAGAAAGTCTACTTTGAGCCACATGTTTTGTTTGATGATAACCAACACATATTGGCTTTGAATGACTCTTTAACACCCAACAGTGCATCAAGATGTGAAGCTAGTAGATACCTTACAAATTGGAGAGGCCACTATGCATATTAAAACAAAAGAGAAAGTAAAGGAAGATAAAACGAAAAAAGCGAAGACGTAAAATAAAGAAAAGGAAAATAAAATCCAAGCCCTAGCACAGAGAAAGCGAGAGAGAAAGCGGTAAAAGTTTGGAAGAGAAGGCGGAAAGAGAGTAGGGACTAAATTGATAATAAAAATTTGGGTTTATAAATGTTTTAATTTGTTGATGTGGCGTTCACGTCAACAACGGTTTGACCCACCGATTAAACCGGTTAACCCGCGACCTGGACCCTTGACTGGGTCAAAGATCGGATTGGGTTTTAAAACATTGCTCTATACAAATAAAAAGAGGTACATAAAACTATGTACTTTATAAAATAGAAAACAAATATAAGTTGGAAAAAATATAATTTCAATTAATAAATAATATTTGATTTAATTGAGATATTGTAGGAAATTAATATTGCTGAGAAGAATAAAATGATGGAGCGTTATTGAATAAAGAAATCGAATGCTAAGTAATTAATTTGTTATTTTAAATCATGCCCTTCACAAATGTCAATATTGTGATTAAAAAGAGAAATATAAAATTAATTACTTTTTTGTTTTGTCTAAAATTATCTTCCGTAGAAAAATTTGACATGACCCAATGAAATATTATTAACATGAATCATATATTCATTTATGTTTTACCTGAAAATGTGAATGCATAGTTTTTCAATTTTTACTATAAAATTGATAGCAAAAGTTCATTTTATTAATAGATTGATAAAATAAATTTAATGAGATTTAATTTCCAAATACAATCTTGAATTCAAATTCCATCTAAATATCTAATAAATTTAATTTCAATTTTTTTTTTTATAAAATATATTAAGGCATTGTAGGAAATTGTAAAGATATCAATAAATATAAAATTTTAACCGTTAGTTAGTGTTCACGCCCAACCACTTCATTACAAATTTACAGTCAAATTTTAAATACAAAAGCAAAACCTAAATATATATATATATATACATACACATTTTTTATTTAATTTTGAATATTGAACCTCCTTCTAATGCACTACAAACTATGTATTAAATATTTTGTCAATATTCAAAATTAAATCAGAAATATATATATATAAGCTTTGCTTTTGCATTTAAATGATGAAGTAATTGAAAAATGAACTATAATCACTATAAAGCTTGAAAAATTGAGAAGATTTTGACACCATTGCAAGTTCTTCGTGCTCGCATGGTATATATATATAAGTTTTGCTTTGTATTTAAAATCTGGCTATAAATCTGTAATGAGATAATGGATGGGCCGTGGATGCTAACTAACGGTTAAAGTTTTGGATTTATTGCAATATTTACATCATTTAAAAAAAAAAAAAAAACCTTCTTGGAAAAGACAAACATCCTTTCCATCATTGAAGTCAAAGTAACCTACAACTCTAGCGCACTACAATTCTATTATTTATGTATTAAATGTTTTGTCAATATTCAAAATTAAATCAGAAATATATATATATATATATATATTGTAGTGTGTTAGAAAGAGGGCTTAAACCTCCGACCTTTTGGTTAACAGCCAAACGCTCTAACCAACTGAGCTATTCCAGTAACATGGTTTTAACTACTAACACATATTTATAGGAAAATTTTATAAAGAGTAAACTTACTCGCCACTAGGGCTGTATACGAGCCGAGCCGAACACTATGGTGTTCGAAGCTTGGCTCATGAAAATTTAACGAGCTCGAGCTCGAGCTTGGGTTCAACAAGCTCTAAAAACCAGGCTTGAAGCTCGAGTTTGTTAAATATTTTGAACTCGAGTTCAGCTTGCGAACCGCTCGTTTAAGAGTCCTCAACCCAAAGCAATCCACCAACAATCCTTCAAAACAACCTCAATCCAAACCAAACCCACTAATCGTCACCAACCATCATCAGATCCAAAGCCAAACAACCACAAATATATAACTCAAAATTTCATCGGCTATGAGAGAGAGAAGAGAAGAGAAGAGGAGAGAAAAGAAAAGCAAAGAGAGAAAAGGAAAAAGATGGAAGAGCGAAGGAGAATTAAGAAGAAAGGTGAAGAATAAGGAAAAAGGAGGAGAAGAAAAAGGGAGGAGGAAAAAGATGGAGAAAGTGTCGATGCTGGAGAAAGAAGATAGGGTTTAGGAAGTAGGATAATCTATATAGGATATAGTAAATTACATATAACCCCCTGATACTTAAAAAAATAGCACTTATACCCTTTTGAGCCATTCACGAGCCTATCTAGCCAGTAATGGGTGGTTTGTAGCTCGGCTCGAGAGGGTAATTGAGCCACTCAAGTTCAAGCTTGGCTTGACAAAAGTCAAGTCGAACCCAGCTCGTTTGAGCTGAGTCGCAAGCTACTCGTGAGCAGCTTGACTTGCTTACAGCCCTGCTCGCCACAAGTTTGGTGAATCTCTAAGTTCTTATCCATGGTTTCATAAATTTAAGATTTTCACTTTTAAATTAACATCATTAGTGATAATTGGGTTCTAACACAGTATAGAGAGTGCTATTACCAAACTACCCTTAAACCTATTACTTTTGATTCAAAATAACTCTCACATCTCAAATTTCTCTCCACCGCCTTTCCACCTCCACCTTTACCACCATTGGCCAGGAAATCTTGACCAAGCCAAAAATCCAACCAGATTCCAACATTGTTAAACCTCCCCAACACCACCATCAATACTTCAGGTCAGAAAAGCACTTAGCATGCTTTCTGGATAAGCATTTCGACACACTAAAATTTATTCAATGATGTGCATGTTTCACCCCCAAATGTTAATTGAGCTTAACCTTACTAGGTTCGCAACCAAAAAAAAAAAAAAAAAAAAAAAAAAAAAAAAAAAAAAAAGGTAAAAAAGTGATTGATACCCTAATTTGGCCAATTCCTGAAATATTGATAACATTACTAGAAGAGAAATTAATTTATGGAAGAATGAATATATAAGCAAGCTCTAATTTTAAAAAGAGACTGAGACACTGAGTCGTTGATCAAATAAAGTTGAGACTTCATAAACAAATTATTAAAAAAGATTCAAACAAAGACTAATCAGCCAGTCAAACCTAATAAATCACAAGAGCTTCTTCCATAATAACCATAAAATTGATAACATTAAAAACATACTACAGTAAAAACTTTACAAGCGGTTTTTCCAGAATGCTTCTTCTAAGCCGGAAAAGCACTTAACGAGCATTCTAGATAAGCAATTCAACAAAACAAAAGTTCTCGGATTATGCACATATTTTATCCCAAATACAGCCCACCAAAACCATAAATATTACCAAACAAATTGACCCTTAATAACCACTACTCTAACCGAAAGAAGAAAAAAAGATTAAAAAGAGTCCGCTTCCCTAACTATCCGGGTTTATTTACGAGATTTATTAAAATAAACGAGCCCAGATTGTCATAAAGTATAGTACACCAGATGGGAAGTTTTCAATTTTAAAGGCTTTAACAAAATTAGGGTTCTGGAAATTACCGAAATTGTATCGTAATTCTGCACAGCCGTTTAAACAAAAAAACAATGGACAAAAGATAAAAAAATTTCACGAAAACTCTCAGTAAACATCTTCTAGACAATGATGTCTTATAACAATTCCATCACAAGAAACATGCGATTAAACCCATTAAAGAGATGCGATTAGATTTTGCAATTCTACAATGGGAACATAAAGATCAATTGCTTCATTATTGGATAATCAAAGCAGAGATCAAGTAATTTGAACACTCACCTGAATTCGGAGATGGTTGAATCGAGGAACAGCGCCGCCGCAGACGATACGATGATCGACAATGTCGTTTTAAAAATGGATTAAGGGGAAGCTGTTGAATATTAATACATCGCCTCCTCGTGAATCGCACATGAGAAGTGAGATCTCACACGCGAGAAAAATGGATGCTGACTTTAGGTATATTACAATTCACCCCACTGTTTTGAAAAATAGTTAATATCATGAAAATACTATAATTGAAAAATAAATGAAAATTAAATTAAACAATAATGGATTGTGTACTTAATTAGAAGAATCCCACGAACATAGTGTGATATGATCTAGTGACATATCATTAACATGAGCATTATATTTTCTGTTATAAATGGCTTAAAATGATATTGGTCGCTTTAGGGATTCACAATTTTGTTTTTGGGCTTAAGGCCCAAAACGCGTCATATTAGGTCAAGGCTTATAGCCCACGCACCCCTTCTCACAGGGAGCGATGTGGGACTTTACAGTACGCTTTCTCATTGCGATCGTATTGATAACGTGTTATAAATGGCCCGACATGATATTGTCCATTTTGACACTACATAGCCTCACAGTTTTGTTTCTAGGCTTTTGGCCCAAAATGTGTTAGGTTGGGTTAAGGCCTATTGTCCCATATATAAAGGCACCCCCTCTCACACGAGAGCGGTGCCAAACTTCACAACATTTTCATTTGTTTTAAATTTATTGCCAAACTTCACAATATTTTCATTTGTTTTAAAATTATTTTTCTCGAAAATGTGAATGCATGATGCTTTAGATTTTAGTATAAAATTGATATTAAATACTCAATTTGCTTTTTGTCTAATAAACAATATTGATTTAACTTCGGTATTGATTTATTAAATTATAATTGAGATATTGTAGAAAATTAATATGCTAGAAAAAAAAAAAAAAAAAACATCAATAGCTTTCGCTTCCTGGTTTCCCCCGTTCCTGACCTTGCTGGCCCAAGGTTTTTATATCTTGTTTATTTTTTCATGTAATAAATAATTTATTTCTAGTTATAAATTTTTGTTTTAGTGTCAGTCTTAAATATAAATAAATGATTTATTTAAATATAAAAATAAAATATCTGATTATATATTTTTGCTACTATACCAACTACAGAATTTTTATTTTATTTTATTTCATGTTATTTAATTCTTCAATTTTTACTATAAAATTGATAGCAAAAGTTCATTTTATTAATAGATTGATAAAATAAATTTAATGAGATTTAATTTCCAAATACACTATTGAATTCAAATCCCATCTAAATATCTAATAAATTTAATTTCAAATTTTTTTTTATAAAAATATTTAAGACATTGTAGGAAATTGTAAAGATCAATATAAATACAAAACTTTTATCATTAGTTAGCGTCCACGTCCAGCCATTTCGTTACAGATTCATAGTCAACTTTTAAATTCAAAAGCAAAACTTAAATATAAGTATACACACACACACATTTTGATTTAATTTTGAATACTGAACCTCCTTCTAGTGCACTACAAATTAAGTATTAAATGGTTTGTCAATATTCAAAATTAAATAAAAAATGTGTGTGTATATATATAAAATTAAGCTTTGCTTTTGCATTTAAAAGATCAAGTGATTGAAAAATGAACTATAATCACCATAAAGCTTGAAAAATTGAGAAGATTTTGACGCTGTTGTGAGTTCTTCCAGCTCGTGTGGAAGAGAGTCCACTTTTGATGAATGTTAAAATAATGATATTTTCTTGATTACAAAGAGCTATTTATAGATATAAATATTACAGTTTGGTCCTCATGACGGTTACTTTGACTTCAATGATGGAAATGATGCTTTTGTCTTTTACAAGAAGGTTTTTTTAAATGATGTAAAGATTGCAATAAATGCAAAACTTTAATCTTTAGTTAGCTCCCATGACCCATCCATTATCTCATTACAGATTTACAGCCAGATTTTAAATGCAAAATAAAACTTATATATATATTTCTGATTTAATTTTGAATATTGACAAAATATTTAATACATAAATAATGGAATTGTAGTGCGTTGAAGGAGGGCTTGAACCTCTGACCTTTTGGTTAACAGCCAAACGCTCCAACTAACTGAGCTATTCAAGTGGCATGTTTTTAACTACTGATACATATTTATAGGAAAATTTTATAAAGAGTAAACATACCCAACACAAGTTTGGTGAATCTCCATGTTCTTATCCATGGTTTCATAAATTCGAGATTTTCAACTTTAAATTATCACTATTAGTGATAATTGAGTTCTGACACAATATAGAGAGTGCTATTACCAAATTACCCTTAAACATTTTATTTTTGATACAAAATAACACCCACATTTCAAATTTGTCTCCACTGCCTCTCCACCTCCACCTTTACCACCATTGGCCAAAAAATCCAGACCAAGCCAAAAATCATACCAGATTCCAACACTATTGAGCCTCCCTAGCACCACCATCAAAATCCCTTATCCTCCTTACCAAATCCCCTAACTTTTCCACCTGAGTGCACCCGCTAATCGCCAACCCTTGCTCCTTGTTGGTCTGCACAACTTTTCAATTTTCAGGTCGGATTCTGATCACTTTCAGCACCGAAAATCACCCATAACACCACCATCAACCTCCTCATATCCTCCTCTTCAAAACTCTATCTTCATCAATTGTCCCCACTCATTGTTTGTTGTCTATCACCTCCAGTGTTTTCAAATGACTGTCGCGTTTTTGCAACTTTGCTCCATTGCACAACGCCAATTTTCTACACTCTATTAGGTGCTATTGTGTTTGTTCGTTTGTGTATTGTTGTTTTTTGGTCACAATGGGCATCCACCTTGCATCCACAACCCCTAAGTCACTCTTCACTCAACCAACCACCATACTGTCATCCCAAACCTTGGAGAATTTTTACTGACTAATTGATGATTATAAAACCATGGGTGGAAAGTTGGAGATTCGTCAAACCTTGGGTGGGTAAACATCGTTTACTCTCTTATAAATTTGGGCTTTTTATCAAGGTCATCCTAGGGTTTGCTGTGGACCAGAGAATTTTAACAGACTAATTGATGATTACTCTTATGCACTAATTAAGATTCAATGATTTAACAAATAAATTTTTTTTAATATGTTTACAGTTTTATCTTTTGCACATAACAATTAGGTCTACAGATATTTCTATTCCATCTTAATTATTATCTTATAATTTTGATTCATTGAAAATTTAATATAGTACAATTTCCCTTGGCATTGCTCAAGTCAACATTATAAATCCAGTCCTGTATTATTTTCCATGCAAAGGTTGAGTAATAGAGTTCTAATTCTGTTTGTATATAATGAAAGAAAAGCACACTTATTTATGCACATGTTTGATAAATTTTGGATAGTTAAAATTAAATTAAAAATATTAATTATATAAAATGTATTCAATCTTAGTTTAGTTTTTTTTAAATTACATTGGCACGAAAATTTTATTCTAAATGGGAATTTGAGTTGGTGAGATTTATGTTTATAAATGGACATGGATTGGTAATGAAGTTTCTTAGATGTAGGTGACTAGTACAACATCCCACTGTCATTATCATCTGCTTAAATCTTGACCGTACGTCTTAACCATACATCTCAACACTCGTCCTACCACTTGAGCTATCTAAGGATGGGTTGTTTCTTAATTAAATCATCTTCAAATGCTTAGTTCTGTAAACATTTTTTAGTATGGATTTCTAAGTTAATTGATATGTTTAATCTTTCTTTCCTTTCTATTGTATCATGATTAATAAGATTTCTATTTCAATCTGGTATAGATTTTTCCCTCCGTAATTTATAACTTTGGTTTTGAAAGAGCTTCGTGATTTAATTCTGCAATTTAATATTCATGATTTCATTTTTCGACTTTAAAAACATGGGCAAATTGTAGAACAAATTTCAATGTATTGACCCAATACACCCTTTTAGGTGTGTTTGTTTTATTATTTGGAGTAATATTTTTGAGAAAGTTGAGTTGGGTTATTATTATGATGATAGGATTTGAATTTAAAAATGTGTTTGGTAAGATTATTTTTTAATCCCCTATATTTATTAATTTAGTTAAACACCTCTTGCAATAAAAGTTTTAAAATTACCAAAAACACCTTTATCCACCCATTAAATGCTGGCAATTGGCCACCGCCTATCGGGAATATGAAGGTGGATGCGTTTTTGTCAATTATAAACTTTTATTATTGGGGGTGTTTAGTTAAATTAACAAACTTAAGGGGTCAAAAAAATCTAAATATTTTGAGTTGAATAAAATATGATTAGATTTGAAGAATAGTAAAACAAACATATATTTTGAATAGAATATGATAGAAATAATAAAACAAACATACTCATTATTACTAATGGAAAACATACGGAAGCAAAATGGGCATTGAAGCTATGTTTGGGTTGGGCTATCCAAGAAAAAGCCCACGTTGCCCAACTTTTTTTGCTTTTATGTACTTCAAATTTTACTATAAAATTTGGAATTTTTTTTAATTTCTATCCTGTCTTATAAAAGACATCAATTATATTTTTATGGAATTTCATTTCAAAGCTAATTTTATTTCATTCTTCAATACCCAATTAAATTAAATTTTATTTCTCAATTTTAATATTACCACAAATATAACTAATATTATAAATTCTTATTAGTATCCTGGATGAATAATCAAAGGAACGTCCCATTTTAAATTATAAATTCTTATTTTCTATTTTATAAGAAATCAAAATTTGATGGCTAATATTATAAATGTAAATTGAAAGTAAAATCTAACTGAGAAATTATAACTAAGATTAAGTGATGAGTGACAATATAGTTTTAATGTCAAAAAGTTTTTGGCACACATTTCCACAAATCTATTTAAATTAAATTAATTATTTGTTAATAAATTATAATTTATTATACCTAATAAACCGAACCCACCATGTAAAAAATTCACTAGATGAAATGATTGAAAATAATATAAGATTATTTTCATTACAAGTTTAAACTTAATCAAATTGTGATAAACAGGAAAAGGATCACTCCTTTTCATTTTTTGAAAGTTTATAGTAATTATTTAATTATTTAAATTTTGCTATAACAAATCACAATATTCATTAAAAAAGATTAATGTTGTATAAGTAATTTGATA